TGGAGGGTCAGAGTAAAGATCTTCAAATATCGCTAATGTACTTCTTTTAGCATTAAACTTTTTGGGATCTGGGATTTTATCAGGAGATAGTGTAGAAAATGTGACATCTTCATAATAGGGCTTTGATTTGTCTTGGGCAAGATATTTATAAAAATCTCGAACTATTTTATATTTTGGCTCATTTAAATGATGTCCGAAAAGAAATACATCATCGCATTTAACATTGCGCTCCCCTATCTTAGAATGCTTTTTCTTCTTAAACATGTAATAAAATTTGGGCATTATTAGCAAGTTTAAATTCATATTGGTCTTACCTGAATTGCTAGCCCCTGTCATCACGATACGAAAAGGCCATGCTGGTGCATCTTTATCTCCCTGGTATTTTTTCGAAGATTTTACCTTATCCACGGCAAATACACAATATAACATCTTTTTGTTATAAATATATATTATGTTTTTTTATTCCAACGAATAATCTGATTTTGACACGCTATTTATATCTATATTTTGTAGATAACATTTCTCTTGCAATTTGCTTTTTATATATACTAATAAATCAGTATCATACGGTATTAAAATAAGATCTATGTCTTGTTTCTTACATATTTCCAGCTTTTTTTGGTCACGTTGCCTTTCATTTGTTCTGAGGATTTTTTAGATGTCTCGTCGATGGCATATACAAATATAGGCATGCCTTTCTCTTTCATTCTGATTGAGTTAATTATTATATTGGAAAATAAATTGCATGTGTATTCTGCTTTATATAATTTGCATTTAATCGCGAATAACTAGTAATTTAGTACTTCGAAGTTTAATTTCAGGATTAAAACTTTTTATACTAGAATAATCCACCTATAAATAACAATCAAACAAATATGGTAAAATATGGACCCCCGATTTTTAATGAATATCCTGGTGAAGATCCAGAAGATTGGCTTAGAGAATTTCGAAGATATGTAGTGGCTAGTCGAATAAATATTACTCCTGGTGTTGAAAAAGTCGCTGAAAGAGCAGAGGCATTAGGGTTGGCAATATTATGTTTTGCTGGACCTGCATTGATTTGGTATGAAACTTGTATTAAGGATAGGAACTGGAAATATAATAATCTTTTAGATAATTTAGGAGTGGTTAACTTAAATGCTGTTTGAGCTTTGGTGGCTGGAAATAATAATAATTAGATTGGTGATTTAAATATAGCAGGAGAATTTTGTAATAAGGCTGTCACAGAAATTGATAGAATTGGTGCAGGGGTTGCAACCGGTATTGATATTATTTCAATAGGTACTTTGGAGGAAGATTGGTCTATAGCTACTGGCAAGCTAACAAATGATATATCAGTTGCACTAAATACGGGTGAAGGTTTTTTTGCTATTACAATCACCCCTAACATTACTCTTGGACAATTCTTATATTTGGTTAAAATTGTCTATACATCGGTTAAGCACTTAAAACAAATGATAGTTTTTGGTCAACTTGTGCAAGGAAATATGACAGTTGAGCAATTTTTCACTAGAATCAAAAAAATAGGTAAACTTGTTGAAATGACTCCCAAACAACAAAAAAAGCAATTTATTTGTGAATTATCTCCTATGAATCAATACAATATTCGTATAATGGCCAAATTTAATGATACACAAAATAATATTGCAGAAATATTGGCCGAAACAGAAAAATTTACATTATCTCAAGAATGTGCACCATCTTCTTTTCTTATTTTCCCTGCCATCAACCCTTATAAAAATGCTAACAAATTAGAAATATTTAAAACTGAAGTTGAAAATTTAATAAAAAATGTAATGGCATCCATACAATCCCAGTTTATTTCTTTGCAACCCGTTTCTTAGCAAATACAATCATCTAAACCTTACTATGGATCATATTCTTCAGAAACATATCAGACCATATAGGATACAAATATTGATAGATTTTTACAATGGATTACTGGAGAAATTCCAGAATTTGTTTCTATTTCTAAATCTGCTTTACTTCCAAAACCGGTAATAAAAAATGATGAAGTCGATTTTAATAAAGAACTGGTCAATCTTACACAAAAACAATTAAATTTACATGCAGCCAAAGCTGTTAAAAAAGCTATGAAGTCACAATACCATTGCTCAAAATATAATAGGACTGGATATAACTCTTGCAAGTGTATCTGAAAAAAAAAGCTTTAAGAATAAATTCAAAAAGAGTAATAATATCAATATGGTTGTTGTGAATTCTGACTCTAGTTCAAATACAAACTTTTCTGATAACAATTCTTCAAACAATAATTCTGATTCTGGGAAAACTTTATCTAAATCTAAATTTGAAGCTGAAGCTGATATAAATGTCAATATAATGCATTTAAAAAAAAAATAAATCAGAAGAGTAAATTAGCATTTAAGAAGAAGTCCAAATCACAAAAAATAAAAAAAGATGGGTCTATCTCTAATAAAGTACAAAAGAGTTCAGGTACAATTATTAATAAAACAGATCCAAAAAATGATTTTAGATATGTTTAATAATCTAGATATAATAAAAATGATTAAAAACAATTTCTTTAATTTTACTAAAACTTCTATAAATAATATAGTTTTGCTTATTACAAATTCAGATTTTATAAATTATCAAGAACCAGTTTCAGATATACTTGAATTAGAGGAAGAAGGGATTATAAATGATCCTATAGAGATTGATTTTGTTCAAAAAAAAGATTCAATTATAAATATGATAATTACAAAATACAAAATTAAATAATTATTAATCCTAGTGACCACAGTAAACCCTGGTACAAATTTTTCAATTATGTCTAAAAATATAGCCAAACGATTAAAGTTGATAATTAATATAAAAAAAAAATACGATCTTAGAGGTATCGTTACTACTTCTACAGAATCTCTTGGAACTACTCAAAATGTATCAGTAAACTTTAATTCCGATTGTACTATATACTTCAATTTTGCAATTGTTAAATATTTTAAACCCATGTTAATTTTGCCAATACTCTTCTAGATAAATATGATTATAATTTGCTCACATCGAAATAAGAATTAAAAAACTCATATGTAATAGTAAAGAGTATTTTATTCTAATAAGCATACACAAAGTCAAGAATAAACTCAAAGTAAATTGTACAACTCTAATCCAAGATAGTAAGTCTTTGCTATCGAATCAAATTTTACAGGAAACAGATAATGACATAGCTCCATTGCAAAGTAATAATGATGAGAATAACAATCTATCTTTAAAAAAAATACATGAGCTATAAGGAACTGGAAAAATTACTATATGTGATATTTGTATCCAAGATGAAATTAATCAAACTCAATAAAAAATTGCGAGCTTATATAAATGAATCTGAATATTTAAAATGAAAGAAATACCAATATAGAGAAAGCAAAGATAGATTAATTAGTTTTTAAAATTCTTTTCAATTCACATTTTATTTCTTTTATTTTTTTATAATCTTGCTTAATTAAAACATATAAGTTACTTATCTTATATATTTTAGATAAGTTAGAAATCTCAGATTTTGATTTTTTTTTCTTTATTTATTTATCAAAAACAACAATAAAATTTTCTATAGAGCATATAATATAATTTATAGTTTGTGATTTTTACTTATGTCATTTTTATCAGTAGAAGTGTTTTGATCAATATTTGATTGTATTAGTTTTGTTAATGAGCATGATTCAGGTGTAAGCTCTTTGAGATATTGTTTTGCAATAAATAAATTTTAATTTGAAACTATCAATATATCTTGTATCAGTTGATACCATTTAACTATACAAACTTTTTGCCCTCTTCAAATTTTATAAAAATAGTTATTTGTTATAGGATATCTTTTTTTTAACTTCTTTAAAACATCAGATTTAGGTTTTTCATCTTGATATTGTATAATAAACTTATAATCTTTTAAAGATAATTGAGATCATATATGTTTAGCCATGTTATTTTTTATATGTAATATATGTAATATATATAATATATATAATACCTATAATATGTGTAATATCTGTAATATTAGTAATATTAATAATATTTTTTTTAAAAATAATTAGTATGTATAATATATATAATATATATAGTATTTATAATATGAATAACTAATACATATAGTATGTATAGTATATATAGTACATATAATATATATTATTTGTATTTTTTATTATATTATTTATATTGGATATGATTCATATAAAAGATCTTAAGAAGAAAATATATCAAATTTCTTCAATATTCTTCTAAAGTATATAATTATAATGCTAAATTGTAGGATAAGTATAAAAAACAAGAAAAAGATTTTAATCAAAAGAGAAGTAAGTGGGATCAGAAAAAAAATAAGTGGAGTCAAAAACTAGAAGATGCTAATACTGAGATCCAGAAATTACATATTCGGGATTTCAAACTCATTGATGAAGCTAGGCATTTACAGATTGAAAATGCTAATAAAGATATTTCTCTTGCAAAGTTCAAAGCTAAAAATGATATAAAATCCAAGAAAATCAAATCACTCGAGTCTATAATCAAAATATTGGAAGGTAAGTTGTCTTCAGCCCAGAAAGATGTGATTTTAATTCAAAGCAACTTATTGAAAAAAGAATTTGAGATATTATCTCTCAAGTCTAAAATAGTTAAATTAAAAAATATGAAGAGCAAATTAGAATCAAAGATCAATAAGCTTGAGTGTCTAAAATCGGAGGCTATATTGAAACCCATAGTTGGTGGGAATGACAAAAAAAATATTATTAAATTTGATAATATATTTTTGGATAGTACTGATCTTAGTAAATATTTTGTATACAGAAAAAATATAAATTCAATAGAAAAAATTAATAGTGAGATTATCGAATTATCAAAAAATAATATCGAGATCAATTCCAAGGTAAGTGATGAAACTAGTATTAGCAAAATTAGTAAGAATAATATATTCTCTTTGATTAAATTGAATGTCCAGATAAGATTTGATACTGAGGCTTTATCTTTCCCTGTTATAACAAACACATTGATGTCACCTTTATCTGTATATATTTTTTTTGCTCTGTTAATTATTACAGTTGTATGATTTGTAAGATACATATGGAATATAGATAGGCTTAAAGTGCCATTACTTTACAGACTCAAAAGAGTAACTCTAAAGGATTATAAAAAAAGTGATCGATTGCAAGATACAGTCAACTCTCTCTAAGTGCAAACTTTCTAAGTGCAAAAACCCTCTAAGTACAAAAAATTTCATTCCCCAATGTTGGAACCTATAAGTTAAGTGCAAAAACTC